ATATTAAAGTATTCTAAAAAATGAAATAGCTATGAAAAGAAATGTGTTCAGAATTATTAATATAAATGCAGAAAAACACAACAATATATCAAACTCGGGAAACCATAACACATTTCAAATCTCCGTGGTTCAATACTTTTCATCTTCTTGCCAGAAATTGCGCTTTTTTTCACAATTTTAGGTGGGTATAAGTGCGGTTTGGAAAATAAAAGTTTTTTTTTTAAAAAAAAGTTATAAATGATATATGAGTTAAAGCAAATTTTTTTGTGATTTGTGGGGTAAGTTTTTTGTTGTTGAGAGAGCCTTTAGAGAGAGCCATCATTTACTTAGCATAGGACCAAAACGGCTTGGAGGGCCAGAGATAGAAAGTGTAGGGTTAGATGAGACAGAGTTATTCAGTGTTCAGTCAATCGTCCTTTAACCCTTGGATCGTTGGTACATCCCAGTTGATGTTCTCATCATTTTCTGACAGTCCAGTCTACTACTCGGCGTCCTCTTTTCAATGTCGTCTTTGTCGCCCCTGTCTACTCCCTCCTGGCACCTTGTCCTGCATTAGTGTTTTTGATTGGCCCTTGTTTTGTGTGGTACGCCCTCTTCATCTCAGTTTTTGTTTTGTTTTGACTCAGCTTACTATCATCTTAAATATACCATATTCTTTGTTGATCTTTTGACGAAAATTTTAAATTTAATGTGATGTGATGTGATCCTTGATACGCCACTGGTTTGAAGTTTTCAAGGAAACGGCTTAAATAGCTACACAAGCGTTCGTTTCTAGGAATATATAAACTTCCCAGTCCTTTTGTCCGGATAACGCTGACTGCGAAACTATTCATAACGTATGTGCTGCTGATTTTACTCGCTAGCTAAGTGTAAGACTGTTTATGACATTTCTTCATATGCTAATCTTAGCACTAAATTTCTAAATTAAGGTTTGTATACAAACAAAATTGATTCTTCACTTTATGTGATTGTAAAAAAAAAAAAAAAAATTAGTGACAAACTCTAAATTATCCGAACCATCGATTTTCAGCACATGTTTAACTGCATTCCCGATATAATTCTAACTTGACATAAACATTTCTATTTTATTTTACGCCGCCTACTATAATTATGTTGTAATTATTCCAGAGACCTGAATACCAGGTATCCATATCTTTTGAGTGAGATTTTAAAGTAATTCATTCACACGAAGGTGTAGATTTAGAAAGCATTCACTCAAAGAGGTAGAAAGTAGAAAGCATTGCATTCATTGTAAGCTGTATGCCTGTTTCGTTTGCTGCTATATTAGTAACAACGATGTAGAAAATAAATCTGTTAATAATTATTAAAGCCATATATTATCTCAAACGGCTTATGGGCCTAGATAATCCAGTAATTCAACTAAAACAATATTTTTTTTCGCTATACCTTGTGGCGTAACATATTATGCCTGGCACCCCACACCCGACCAGCTACGCCACTGAGTTGTAACCCCCCCCCCCCTCCCCCACCCTAGATGTGCTCGCCACCGAGAGGGCGAGTTGTTCTCCACTTTTAGTTTAAGTGGCGAGTTCTGATCCGAGCGACGGAATATTTAAAAGTTTAGTTTCTGCATGTGTGTCGTTTATATTCAAATCTTGCTATGTGATAAATATAGTCCACTGATTTGTAAAAGTTGGTTAGTGTTTAGAAAAATTGATACTGTTACATTATTATGTATTTTTGTAAATGCTGAAAAAAGGAGCATTTTTTTTTGCATGTTGATGCTCCTGGTTTGACCAGCGTAGTCAATTTTCGGCAAAAATGTAAACGTTTACCTCATCCGCCATATGGAAAATCCCAATCTAAGTTAAGGTTTTTAGTAGGCTACTAGAATACCCGTCATCCGTTGGATAACTGTGGGTTTCGGGGGTCATCCATCAAAAAAACATCACGTCTGTCACTCAGAGGCATAGCGACCCTTCCCGGCACCCGGGGACAAACTTTTCGATTTTAACCCCCCCCCCAAGATTTCGATTTTCAACCCCCCCCCCCCTCAAACTTTTGATGTGCACCCCCCACCCCCACTCAAACTTTCGATTTGAACCCCACTCAACCTTTCAATTTATTTTTCCAAACCATTTTGGCGCCCCAACATATGTCCCCCCGCCTCCCCCCTCCACCTCCCCCCGCCTCCCCTTCCCCCCTCCCCCCGCCTCCCCTCCCGCCCCCCCCCCCCCCTCCTCGCTACGCTACTGCAGTGTCACTTATCGTCACAAAAACAGACCCCACATTCAAAAATATGTTTCTTTTAAAAACACCGAAAACACCGATTTCGGACTATCCCTTCATATACTGACGTCACATGTGACCTACTCAACTCTACTTCACCTGCCCAGTGTCCCGCCAAGTCTCAGACAACATGTTTTTATCGTTTAAAAAACGATTCCAGCCGAGCATGTCTCTGACCACACTATCCTTTCATATGCTTAGGACAAAGAAACAGATGAACTCTACTTCACCTGCCCTGTATCCTGCCAAGTTCAGATAGGCAACTTTATCATTCACATCTAAAAAAAAAAAAAAATTAAAAAAAAATATCATTGACATATTGGTCTAGAACCTGTACCACCCGCATGAGAGCGGACTACGCTACAAACTTAGCTATTTACTCGTGACGTCACAAATGAATTTTTATACTATACTTTTGAGTCTCCGCGCATAGATCTAGATCTAAGTCTAGTAGTAGAATCTAGTAACTTTCAAATTAAATTTTATCTTAAATTAGCCAAACAAAGATTTATATAAAATAATTAAGGCCTGAAATAGATTCTAGATGTATTAAGGCCTGAAATAGATTCTAGATGTAGAATTTACATTAAGTCTAGATCTAGAATTTACATTGAGTCTAGAGTGACCTAGATCTAGGCTAGATCTAGACTCTAGAATCTACGCTAGATTCATAACTTTCCTTCGACAGCTGATCTTTAGATCTAGAGAAATTTATTGTAAAACTAAATGAAAAAAGACAGTTGAAAATTGATATAAGTGTTGGAACGTAATAAATACAGCAAACGGACGTATTGTTAAAGTTATGACCGACAGAAAATTAGATTTAGAACGCGTTAAACTTTTGAATGGGAACACAATTTTCTTCGATAGACGCCGCCATTTTATTGTACTAAAGAGTAAACAAAAAACTGTGACGTCACGGTCCCGCCGAGTGTAGTGGTCGTTCTAAACTTTTTTAAAAAAATGGGTTACTCTGCGTATGAATAAATCAATAAATTAATTAACGTCTTTAAATAAATGTGTGATTAACAGTCTGTCTTAAAACAAAAATTTTTCTCTACCTACATACTATTTTACAGCTTTCCACGATGAGTGCAACCATGCGAGATAGTCAATCAGGCAAACAAACAAACAAACAAAAAAACAAACAAAAAAATAAATAAATATTCAAACATGTAAACAAACTTGACTTTTAGTAGTATATAGATAGATATTATTTTGACTAGTAATCCTTTCTAAAACACTTATGCGTTATTTAGACTAGATTTAAATATGTTCTATTGAGTTATATGCAGTGGCGTCGCTAGGACGGGTATCACCCGGTGCGGCACATCATGGTGTCACCCCCTTTTTTTTCTCAGTAAATTTTGCAGTTGATGTCACCCCACCCCCAAGTTAAAGCTTTAAACTGTTCACATTTAATACTATACTAATGATGTCTATCGATAGTAGGTTGTGAATACAGCTGGTTGTAGCATTGTTTTCTCTATAGTTTGGTTGTTAATACAGCTGGTTGTAGCATTGTTTTCTCTCTAGTTTGCATGTTTAGGTCATGGTGTCGAACGTCCGACCAACCCCCCCCCCCCCCCCAATGTGATCGTTGTTATGTACTTAAAATATTTTTTAAACTCTAGTTAACCATTCATTAAAGTGGCAAAAACATTTATTCTAAACATCTTGCAATTTGTTTTGTCTATGTGTCACCCCCTAAATGGTGTCACCCGGTGCGGTCCGCTTCCCCCCCCCCCCCCCCCCCCGTCTCTGGTTATATGTATGACAACAAGTAGCCTAAAATATTTTGAAAGTTTCCGACATTGACTTTGTTGCGTCACTTATTCAATAAGGGTGACATTGGTGACACGTCACTGCTGACACGGGTCATGTCACGGATGACATGGGTCATGTCACGGACGAAATAGTGATAGTAACTGTGTTCTTTCCCTTTAGAACATTGCCGTATACTTTAAATAGTGATAGTAACTGTGTTCTTTCCCTTTAAAACATTGCCGTATACTTTAAATAGTGATAGTAACTGTGTTCTTTCCCTTTAAAACATTGCCGTATACTTTAAATAGTGATAGTAACTGTGTTCTTTCCCTTTAGAACATTGCCGTATACTTTAAATAGTGATAGTAACTGTGTTCTTTCCCTTTAGAACATTGCCGTATACTTTAAATAGTGATAGTAACTGTGTTCTTTCCCTTTAGAACATTGCCGTATACTTTGGTTAAGTCCAGTGTTTGGGGATTTAGAATTATGCACTGCCTTCAAATACAAAAGAAAAATTCTTATCAGTCTTTGGCATTGTGTAAATTAAAATTTGTAAGTACATAAACAACCATTCATTAGATAAACTGTTTTAAACTCGATTAATTTTATTCATAGGCAATGTGGCTTTATGAGTGAAAATTAATTTTGTAATCAAACTAGAATTCTGTTTTGTCATGTTTCTAATATGTTTTATTAACTGTAAATAAATAATTAAAGACACATTTACCAATAGGCTTATTATCTATACTTACATCTAACAAGATCAACTAATTCTTTTAAAGATTAATATAGCATCAGAAAACCTAGCTATTTCTTAAATAATTGATTTTTTAAAAAATCAATGCATATGTTGGCATACAGAAGCCTGTTTTTACTTAGGACATCAATAGATACATTATATTGTTAAAAGAAATTAAACAAAGTATTTTTTAGTTTGATAATAAATTATTTTATTAACTATTATTTACAATTGCTATAGATCTATATGTAAAAAGTAGGTTTAACTAATACAATTTTTGCTAAAAATAATTTTAAAAGGTCATCGCAATTCCCATTTGCCTATGACATATTATCAAATGTTAAAACAAGACATAGGGGACTAATTATGAAAACATTTTAAAACGATTTTAAAAAAATGAATTATCAAACATTTTAATAAAAAATTAATTAATTTTTAAAAAATGCAAACAATTTTAAAAAGATTAATGTATAAAAAGTATAGTTTAAAAGAAATTAAAAACTACAAATTGAAGTAGTAAATTTTGATAAGCAAATTTGTATTTGAAACTTTTACTATTTAATATTTAATGAAAATGAAGTAGTAACCTATATAAAAGGCCATTGTAATTTTCATTATATGACCCATCATCATTAACAATGTTTATACATTTCAAAATGAGCCATATAATTCTCTAGACATCTTTATAAGATACATATTATACATTTCATAAATGCAAATTACAAATATACATAATAATAAAATCACAATGAAATATACAAGCAAAAATGGTTTTAAAAATTAATGTTTTAATATAATGTTTTTATTTTTTAAGTTATTTATATATTTTTAAAATTATTTTTATAGTGAGTTTCTATGACTGTAAGAGATGAAACTGGCGTCACTTTATTAATAACTTTAGAAAAAAATTAAATGCTAATTACGCAACTGTGTGTGAAATTTCTATATAGGCCTACAGGCTTGCAAAAAATAATAACATTATCTGGATTTTTTTTACATGCATATTTGTTTTATATTTTAAAAAAATCTTAAATTAAAAATGAAAATTTACATTTCCAAATGCACAAATTCCAGAATGGTCTGGCCACATGAAGAACATTTCCTCATCTCTGGGGCACACATCAGGCAGTTAGCCTTACACAAACAGGGCAGGTTTCTGGTGGATATAATCTGTTGGAAACATGTGCGGCAGATTTGTAGACCTGAGGGCACAAGACAAAAACATTTTTTTTTATTAACATTGGGACTTTGTAACTGGTATATTGACAATTGTAATTGCCAAATATGTTTATCCAACAAGACAAAAACATTTGTTTATTTTTTCTTAACATTGGGACTTTGTAACTGGTATATTGACAATTGTAATTGCCAAATACGTTTATCCAACAAGACAAAAACAGTAGTTTTTTAAATTTGGATTTTTGAAATGGTATATCAATTACACATGTAATTTATAAATACTTGAATTATAAAAGCATTATAAACATATCTTTATATCAAGACTGCAGTTACTTAGTGAAAAACTTAAACAATCTTTGGTCAATACATTTTATGTGTTTGTGAGTGTAGTTCATTTTCCCAATTTATTTTTCATTAGTTTAGTCTGGGTTGTTCTCCAGTTTTTTTTCCCCTGAGTATAGAGAAGACTTTTGAAGAGATTAGTATTTTATTATCAAATCTCTTTGCACTGAAATACATGTTGTTGAACCATACCCAGAGGCGTAGCGAAGGGGGGGGCAGGGGGGTACATATGTCCCCGGGCGCCGATCTTAGGGGGCGCCAAAATGGGTTGGAAAAACAAATTAAACTCATTTTAGCTGCATTTTAGCTTTATATATATATATATATATATATATATATATATATATATATATATATATATATATATATATAAATATATATATATATATATATTTATATATATATATATATATATATATATAAAATATGACGGGGTGGGGTGCAAATCGAGAGTTCGAGGGGGGGGGGGGCGCCAAATTGAAAGTTTGTCCCCGGGCGCCGGGAAGGGTCGCTACGCCTCTGACCATACCTTGACCTATAGCAGGGTCAGAAATTTAACCACTGTGTTAAGAAAACCCTGAACTCAGCTCATTTTAATGTGGTACCAGTAGGAGCGTAGGTAAACTGGCTTGTGCCAAACTCAGCTCATTTTAATGTGGTACCAGTAGGAGCGTAGGTAAACTGGCTTGTGCCAAACCCAGCCTCCTGTGGAAGACACAATAAAACACTGGTGCCACAGCTTACTTCTTTGAGAAGCCTTCTGCCTCAGGTTGATGTCAAACAGGTACTGTCTGTAATCAGGAACTTGATTGCTAAATGCACATAGTGGCGTCACACAGATGTTAAATCTTGGGTCAAAGGTTGGCTCTGGGTGAAGCAGCTGCTCCTCTGACACATAATACGTCGACTGTACGGCTGGCAATGGCTGAAGTAGACAGGACAAATACAACTATTTTTGTCATTTTTAAAATAATTTTAACAAGAACATACTTTTTAGAATAATGACTCTAGAGAATGAATAGCATAACTCTCAGCTTAATTATTAAAACATGAAAATGTGTTATCAAGTTTCAAATTAATTTTTTATTTAAAATTAATTTATTGGGTATTTATGTTGGTTATATCAGTTATGGTTTGATAGATAAACTAAATAAAGTTTAATTTTACATTTTATTTTTAAAAAATCTAATTTAAAAAAATCAAAAATAATTTTTAAGCTTTACCACTTCAACATCTGCAAACTGAAATTGTATTGTTCCCTCGTTTACAGTTGGTTGACTAAAGTTTAAAACTGATCTGTTGCTGGTACCACTATACAGAACAAGTGGAGTCTGGAAGGCCTGGTCCAATAGCTCATACTGTGAGTTGAGTGGAGATGTGCCAGAAGTGTACCCAGAGCTTTCCAGTTCCTCAGATAGTTCTGGCACCCCTTCAGCTAGTTCTGTGGGCTCCATGCTTTCCCTACCGAACTTTAGAACATTATTTCATGTTAAAAATCGAGAAATAGTTTATTTCTTGTGATAATCTCTTTTCAAAATACTAAAACATTAAACTGCAACTCATTTTTATTTATTTTTCTGGTCTAGAAATGCACATAGCACTACAATAGTATGAAAATAATATTTCAAAATTCATTTACAGAGCTTATTGGATTATTTTTTTGAATGGATTACACAGTCTCAAAAAGTTCTGGATAATTTGAACAGTTGGTAAGTACAAATTTTAAACAGAAATAAAAATAACAAAATTATAGGACTATTTTGTCAAGTAGATCTGCATAACAAAAATGATGTAATACTTCTAAATTTCAAAATGTATTTACACTCTATATGTGCTTTCTATGCTCAAATATAGGAAAAATTATTATTTCGAAATTTTTCTTACAAAGGGAAACAACGCAATTAATATTTTCTTACAATCAACCAAGCCTGGTTATATCCCTTTAAGAAATTTTTTTAAAAAAAATAAATAAAAGGGGTCGGCTAAAGTGTGTATGCGGCGGAGTTTCTTCCAGGCTGGGAGGGAGGAGGTTGAATCCGACTTTTTGTGACGAGATATAAATGGAAATTTGAGGGGGATAAAAATCGTCAAAAAATGTGAGATAACTCATAGACAGACTGTTTAGTCAATAAGAAACTTTTACAGAACTTCTTTAAATACTAGTTTCAAAATTTAAAATCTATAATTAATATTGTTTTAAAAAGTTAAGTTTATTAATTTCAACAGGAAAGAATGACAGCTCATCCCTGTACTATGTACATGAATTAACTCCTATCTTTTAAGGGTGTTGTAATCTGGACTCTACAAAACTCATACTATTTTTTCCTGGATAGTCTCCCTTTTATTAAAAATTATTATCTGGGTTTCATCTTTAAATCTAAGATCAAATATATTTATTCATGTTATTTAAAATTTATATAACCCATGTAGTCATGCAATCTAGGAATAAAAATGGAAAACAAATAGAATATAGATTATAGAAAGATTGAAAAACTCTTTTTGAAAGATGTTTTGTTCTACAGTTCAAAAAGGTGTTTAGTTACAATATTGATATTCAATATAAACATAGTTCTCATTAAGCTTTCTTTAACTTTAATAAATAAGTAATAGTTTATTCTCAACATTTTGAGACTTTTAAATCTAGCTACATTAAAATTTTACTTTTTTTTAAGCTCTTTAAAAAATACTTGTAACAAGGGAAGTAACAATGAAAAACAAATTGAACGAAAAAAGTTTTATTAAAATAAGCAGAAAGGAGGCCCTACGTTTTTAGGTTTTATATCATTTTTGATTTTAAAGTATACCAAATAAATATTATTATGTCACATTTCTCCAGTCCTCTGATCATACATCTTCACCAACGTAACAATGCTCTTTCTTTTTACTTTCTCGTATATACGTAGTATAGAGAAAGTATTGTAATCGTGCAAAAAAAAAAAAAAAAAAAATCGAGATTTTTACAAATCTCGACGTTTTACACCTCACTGATACGGAAAAACATAATTTTGCAATCTTGTCCGTATGTCTGTGTGTGTGTCTGTGTGTCCGTGTGTAAACACGATAACTTGAGTACCCTTACTGCTAGGTTGATGAAATTTCATATATAAGTATTTTATCAAAATCGTAGATCCGTATCAACTTTTGAGCGATTTCCGATAACCGGAAGTGGTACTTTTTCTACTTTGAATTTTTTAAAAGCCTATAACTTGAGTACTATTTCAGATAGATAAATGAAATTTCACATGTAAGTAAAAGATCTAATTCTCTACCTTCTGTTAAATTTTGAGTAATTTCCGTTGACCGGAAGTAGTAATTTACGCTACTTCCGATTTCTCAAAAAAACTAATGTAAATTTTAAAAGTACTAATAATATTGCGCACTATTATGCGCTTTTTTATTTCGCGTTCACTTGGTGTGCAATTAATTTGTCTACGAGATTTTATTCTATTTTTAAAACTTTAAGTATTTAAAATGGATTAAAAATCATGTCTATAGCCCGAGTTCCCATCCCCTGTTATTTTATATAAAAATATTCGAGAAAGTTTAGGGGAGATCACTCCCGGTTTATTTATTAAACTCATACATACTTAACTTCCAGGAAATGTCCTTTATCTCCCTTGAACTTCTTAGAAAATGTCGGCTAGCTAATGAATTGTTTTTACCGATAATTAGTTAGGGACTATTATAGTGGAACTCTGATTTAAAATTCTCTACTATTATTATCTATTCTGTAGCCCTACTATACTGTAGGGTTAAACTGTTAAACTCCATTTCAGCGTTGTCTATTCCCTCGGCCTCATCACGTTCACCTCAGGTTGAGCGTATTTTATTATAAACACAACCGAAGCACAAAAACGTTAGGAAAACACGAGTATTAGATCTAGAACGAAGTTACGAATGTAAACTAAGTTTAATTAAAGTTTACTACAGGTTTAGGCTTAAAATTACCTTTATTTTCAACAGACGACTTTGTTTTGTTAAATCCAGTTAAAAAAGTGTGAAGAGTAAATCCTTAGGGACTGACTGGAATTACACCACCACGTCGGTGACTGACACTTACGTTACAAACAGACGGTTATATTTGCCGCCGCTAGCGAACCATACGTCTGCTTGCTGAGGGCGAACAGTAGGCCTCTGGTAATTGGTTGGCAAGACAGGGGGCGTGTCCCATATCGTGTGGGAGGGAGGGGGGGAGAGATTAATTTTTTTTTTAATCTAGCTAAACCATAGGAAACAACGAATCAACAACCTTTTCGATTAGTTTAACGCCATATTACAGAAAGTGTCGGGACTGGTGTTGTGATGTGTGTGTGTGTGTGTGGGGGGGGGGGGGGGGGGGGGCAGGGGGGGCGAGTTATTATGTGGTAATGATTCAAGATATAAACAATGGGTTAGTTTTGTTTTTACCTTATATATTTTGAGTAGAAATAGATCTCACCGTACATTACACCTCGCATTACTGCAGGAAAGAATAAGATGTTGATGGGCCTTGGCTTTTATTAGTGGCTTTCTTTCCCTCTTTCTTTCATTCTTACTGTCAAACTTGGAAACTGCCTCTAGTCTAGAGTATGTGGACACAAATCTGAGTCTGTAGCGTCAACATTCACCAGGTTGGGCATCACCTGGTGTGCAGAGTTTCTTCCAGACTTTTTTCTCCGGGGGGGGGCACTTGAAATCTTCGGGGGGGGGGGGGGGGCGGTAAACTTTCTTCGGGGGGGGGGGCGAACACTGTTAAAAGTATATATTTTCTATATAAATTATATAAATTTCATTTCGTTCGGGGGGGGCGGTAAAAAAATTTCGGGGGGTGGGGGGGCTTCGCCCCCCCCCGAAGAGATGCCTGGAAGAAACTCTGCTGGTGTGGTATCTCAGGGTGTCCCCTGGTGTGGCATTAGGGTGTCCCCTGGTGTGGCATTAGGGTGTCACCTGGTGTGGTATCTCAGGGTGTCACCTGGTGTGGTATCTTAGGGTGTCACCTGGTGTGGTATCTCAGGGTGTCACCTGGTGTGGTATCTCAGGGTGTCACCTGGTGTGGTATCTCAGGGTGTCACCTGGTGTGGTATCTCAGGGTGTCACCTGGTGTGGTATCTCAGGGTGTCACCTGGTGTGGTATCTCAGGGTGTCACCTGGTGGTATCTCATGGTGTCACCTGGTGTGGTATCTCAGGGTGTCCCCTGGTGTGGCATTAGGGTGTCACCTGGTGTGGTATCTCAGGGTGTCACCTGGTGTGATATCTCAGGGTGTCCCCTGGTGTGGCATTAGGATGTCACCTGGTGTGGTATCTCAGGGTGTCACCTGGTGTGGTATCTCAGGGTGTCACCTGGTGTGGCATTAGGGTGTCACCTGGTGTTGTATCTCAGGGTGTCCCCTGGTGTGGTATCTCAGGGTGTCCCCTGGTGTGGCATTAGGGTGTCACCTGGTGTTGTATCTCAGGGTGTCACCTGGTGTTGTATCTCAGGGTGTCACCTGGTGGTATCTCAGGGTGTCACCTTGTGTGGTATCTCAGGGTGTCACCTGGTGTGGTATCTCAGGGTGTCCCCTGGTGTGGCATTAGGGTGTCACCTGGTGTGGTATCTCAGGGTGTCACCTGGTGTGATATCTCAAGGTGTACCCTGGTGTGGTATCTCAGGGTGTCCCCTGGTGTGGGCATTAGGGTGTCACCTGGTGTTGTATCTCAGGGTGTCACCTGGTGTTGTATCTCAGGGTGTCACCTGGTGGTATCTCATGGTGTCACCTGGTGTGGTATCTCAGGGTGTCACCTGGTGTGGTATCTCAGGGTGTCACCTGGTGGTATCTCAGGGTGTCACCTTGTGTGGTATCTCAGGGTGTCCCCTGGTGTGGCATTAGGGTGTCACCTGGTGTGGTATCTCAGGGTGTCACCTGGTGTTGTATCTCAGGGTGTCACCTGGTGTTGTATCTCAGGGTGTCACCTGGTGTGGTATCTCAGGGTGTCCCCTGGTGTGGCATTAGGGTGTCACCTGGTGTTGTATCTCAGGGTGTCACCTGGTGTTGTATCTCAGGGTGTCACCTGGTGGTATCTCATGGTGTCACCTGGTGTGGTATCTCAGGGTGTCACCTGGTGTGGTATCTCAGGGTGTCACCTGGTGTGGTATCTCAAGGTGTCACCTGGATGGTATCTCAGGGTGTCCCCTGGTGTGGCATTAGGGTGTCACCTGGTGTGGTATCTCAGGGTGTCACCTGGTGTTGTATCTCAGGGTGTCACCTGGTGTTGTATCTCAGGGTGTCACCTGGTGTGGTATCTCAGGGTGTCACCTGGTGTTGTATCTCAGGGTGTCACCTGGTGTGGTATCTCAAGGTGTCCCCTGGTGTGGTATCTCAGGGTGTCACCTGGTGTGGTATCTCAGGGTGTCACCTGGTGTTGTATCTCAGGGGTGTCACCTGGTGTGGTATCTCAGGGTGTCACCTGGTGTTGTATCTCAGGGTGTCACCTGGTGTTGTATCTCAGGGTGTCACCTGGTGTGGTATCTCAAGGTGTCACCTGGTGTGGTATCTCAGGGTGTCACCTGGTGTGGTATCTCAGGGTGTCACCTGATGTGGTATCTCAGGGTGTCACATGGTGTGGTATCTCAGGGTGTCACCTCGTGTGGTATCTCAGGGTGTCACCTGGTGTGGTATCTCAAGGTGTCCCCTGGTGTGGTATCTCAGGGTGTCCCCTGGTGTTGTATCTCAGGATGTCACCTGATGTAGTATCTCAGGGTGTCACATGGTGTGGTATCTCAGGGTGTCACCTCGTGTGGTATCTCAGGGTGTCACCTGGTGTGGTATCTCAGGGTGTCACCTGGTGTTGTATCTCAGGGTGTCACCTGGTGTGGTATCTCAAGGTGTCACCTGGTGTGGTATCTCAGGGTGTCCCCTGGTATTGTATCTCAGGGTGTCACCTGGTGTGGTATCTCATGGTGTTACCACATCCACCTCCAACAAAATAATACTTTTTTTGTTTAGCGTCAACACTCCCTGTTATTTATTTTTTACTTTTTTTTTGATAATATGTTTTAACAGCACTTTATGATGTTTTAAAATTTGGTGTTGCCACCTTAATTGTGTCACACTATGCTGACTATACTCCACGCCCTACTTGTGAAGTTTCTGGCTTCATGAGGTATGGCGTACTGTGACTTTAGTGTTCTATTAATAACAACACCCCTGAAAGCAGTATAGTATGTTTACACATTCTTTTTCATTGTGTAACGTATTCATATTTCTTTCTTTATATTACAAGAAATATTGGGTAATAAATATTTCTATAATAGATCAATTGTTGAGTTAATTTTTTTTATTTGGGTAGGGGGGGGGGGGGAGTCAATTCGACTTCCATAAGTAGTTTATCATATCGGTTTTGCTTGAATGTAGGTAAGGTAGTTTGTGAAAATCGATGTGTTACTTTCGAAGTACGATTATAACTCTTTTGCATTCTGAGTTTGCACGTGTTTTTCCTAATGTTGTGGTCAGACTATCCTCCAACTTATGCCCAGAGTTTCTTCCATGTATTTCTTCGGGGGGGGGGGGGGGGGAGCCTGTTAGACTTTCCAACTTATACCCCTTATAATACGTAGAGCCTATCAGAGTATCCAACTTATACCCCGTGTAATATGTAGAGCCTATCATACTATCCAACTTATACCCCGTGTAATATGTAGAGCCTATCATACTATCCAACTTATACCCCGTGTAATATGTAGAGCCTATCATACTATCCAACTTATACCCCGTGTAATATGTAGAGCCTATCATACTATCCAACTTATTGGATATCCGGCAAAGGCTGTTCTAAAACATTTTTACTTTTAGGTTTAAAATAGTACTGGTTCACATAAAAACATTTGGTACACATATACACATTACTCAACAGTATTTCTCTGTGTGTGTATGTGTGTGTGTTTGTGAGTTTGTATATATTTGTACATATGACAAACTCACAAAAATTGTTCTTTTTGGCATTTAAATTTTGAGATTTAAATTATGCATTACATAAAATCATGACTAATGCGCTAATTTCTAGATTCTAGAATCTGGATTATCTAGGGCTTGTCTATCTAACTAGGTAGGCCTTAACTGTTCACAAATACGTGCGTTTCAGCAATTGAAGTTGATATGGCCTAGTACAAAGTACGGCAGGAATCATCTAAAATATTCCAAGATAGCATCAACTACTGTCAAATCAAATCAATAATGTTGTTTTGTTAAAGTTTAAAGTTATGGTCTTATTGTGTGTGTGTGTGTGTGGGGGGGGGGGGGGGTGTCTCAGATTACTGATTAGCCTACGTCAGCTGGCATTAAGCAGTAATTAGATGTAGTTAGAGACCAACTCTAACAAACTATAGGCCTACCATGCCTATACTGTGTATAATGTCATAAGATTTAATTATTTATTTTTGACTTTGCTAAATAGCACCCTAGCGTATATTCCTCTATTTGGCTTCAAATTCCTGTTTTTTGGTATGTCTGTTCCTACTTTTGGTCGCCTGGGATAAGGATGTCTGCGTATGACCGCATCATACAGACTTCATTGCTTCACAATAACACTTCAGAATATCACTTATCGTGTGTGTCAGGAGAATTTCAGATCTTTAAGTGCCCTTTATTGTTCAGCAGTAACGTGCTTGAAAGCATATTGGAGGGTGCTTGTAAACTGTTTGGTTTTTTTCTCCGTGAAAATTGAGATGACTCAACATTCGCAGTTTACTTTCATATAGAAATGAGAAAATTAGCAGAGGTGACTTTAACATTATTTTTATGCGAATCTTTTACGGGAAAAAGCAGAGTGTGTTGTAATTTTACATTTTACGTGTGCGTTTAAAAACACAAACAAGCAGTTCCGTAAATAAACATTACACAAAATGAGGTTATGAATCATTATTTATGTATTTTTTCTCTCTCCAGATATTCGCTTTTACTTCCGTTTGATGCACTGTTCGTGGGATAAACCGATTTTTTAAACTGCTAGTATCGTTGTTGGAGTTAAAGTAAGGTTG